GGGGGGGGGGGGGGGGGGGGGGGGGGGGGGGGGGGGGGGGGGGGGGGGGGGGGGGGGGGGGGGGGGGCGGGAGTTCGCCCCTAACTTGGTGGTTTGATTCGAAATCACCAGTTACGTCACATCCCACGTTTTCCAAAGTAAAGATCTGGTTGAAGTAGCTAGTAATTGAAGTAGCTTGTAAACGACAAGCCTTGTGTGAGGAAAAAACAAGCCCCCCGTTCAACCCCGTTGCTGGTGAAATTGGCTGAGAACAAGTTTAGTCTCTGCTGCTGTGGGAAGGAAGACAGAAAAAAATAAATGCTTCGTACCAAACTTTTTTTATCTAGACAAGACCTTCCGCAGTGGCACGTGAACCTCACTATTTACTGCTGGTGACTGGCTACCCCAGAACGAGTGGAAGGTTGTTCGTTTTCTTCTGCCCGAATTAGCTAACGAATGGATAGCAACGCTCGGTCGTTTACGCTCGCAATGATGGTAGCGGAGCACATGCAGCCAGTCTTAGCCCTGTATTCACACAACATGCCTCCAGAGTACTTAACCCAAGCGGAGCGGTTTGCCCGAGATGCTTCCATACTCCAATCGGCATCGAATACAGAATTATCGCTGTCTTTCAACAGCAGTACCAAATACGTGACTAACCTTGGAGGACAGCCTTGTAAGCAAGCGTGAGGGCTCGCGCCTGCATCGACCCTCCCCGTGCATAGCACGTGTTCCATCGGACCACCATCTCGTTTCGCAGCTGAACATATGCGTGCGTGCCGCACCCCTTTGCCTTTGCTTGTAAGTACATCTCTGCGTGGAAAGTAGCTGAGGGAAAAATCCTTCTGGACCGTGACAAAACAAGTGGTGAAACACTAAATAGTTGGCACTAAGTTGTATCCCCCGTCAGGAGTGATACCGTTTCAACCCGACAGGCAGATCCTGGCATCGGCACAAAATGTCAGAAGCACATTGGGGAGAAGCGTTTATTGTTTTTCCCTGACGAAAACGAAAACTTTTCTCTGGCTCCCAGTAAGACCCCAAGATAATACGCCAAGAGGCTCTGTAATCTGGATACCACCCCTACGTCCGTAAGTCTCTGCACCCGGAAATGTGGGAAAATAGCTCGCGAAAGCCTCGCCTTTGCATAGTCTTCGGGTAGTACTGGGTATTGGTAACATGACAACATGCGCTTCACGAAAAGAGGCGAGCGAATAGACAGCCTCGCCGCCGAGGCAAGAGGCAAAAACCAGTCAAGGTTGGGGCGAACATGCGACTTCTGCGGCTAGAGTGCAGCAGCACCTACCTTCATCTCACGGAACCCAACCGACCGACGCGATCAGTGAAGCTTAACTGTTGCTACAAACATTTACAGGGCGAAAATGAACACGTACAGAGCAGGTTTACCCAGCACTTTTTTTTCAAACTCTTCTTGAATCGAAACCCGAAAGAATGAATCGCCCCCCTTTGCAAGCCATTGACAATTGCGCCGATGGCCGATCATTTTTTTTTTTGTATGCAGGTGCAAGCCTCCGGTGCTGTCCCCGGACACCGCCGCCGCGAACTCGAGGGTGTCCGCCCTGGCGACCGACATGCTGGAGAGGGGCTGGGTCACGCGAGACGAGTACCAACAGCTCCTGCATGGCGATCGGTGAGACGAAGGAGAGAGGGAACCGAACATCCACCTTCTCTCTATTGTTGTTGCGGTTGTTGTTGGTGGTGGTGGCGATTGGCCACAGGTGAGGACGGTTGCAGCGATAGCAGTAACACTCGGGTAGTTACTGGAGTGACTGACGTTGAGTGTATGATCAACTACTACTGTCCTTGGGTGGGATGGCTCCTCACGTTGGTGTACGTACAAGGAATTTGGTATTACGTCGCTCCAAAAGCTTCCTGCTGCCGCTGCTGCTGCTGCTGCTGCTGTTGCTGCTGCTGCCGGCACTGCTACGGTACTCGTAGGTTGTTCTCTCTCCACAAGTCCGAGATGGAGGAGCAGGAACGACAGCGGCGGCGGCGACTGCGAAATAAGATAGGGCTCCGTCGGAAATTGTGGAAGCAGACGCGCATCGGCGTCGTAAGGCGCGCGCGCGCGCGGAAGGCCGAAAAGGTACAGCATATACTCCTGTATATCTCCGGGCGTCTTGCTGCTTCGGTTCGCGTGACGGTGTTTTTTTTGGGGAAAACGACACAACAGGGTATACCCTGGTCGAAAAGCGACACACCTGGGTACACAGTCATTAACAGCAGTAAATGCACTCATATAATTGGTCAGCGCCCAATTTCACCCCGGTGCGTCCGAAAAGGCGCAGGTTATACCCTGCCGTGACTACCTTTCTCAATAACTATACCCTATTTTCGGAAATGTATCCTGACCTGTCGGGAAATTAGACCCTTTCATCAATCATTTCCCCCGCAGGAATCTTCCCAACTCCTTTTCCCCTCCAACCATGGGATACCAAACGGCGACTCTTTCCGCCCAATAACAACCATGGCAACGGGGCAGGAATCAGTTTCCGCCCCTGCGAAACAACACCAACCGTCAACTCTTCCGCTCTAGGTCAACAATGGCCGGGCAACACGTACCCCAGCACAATTGTTCCGTTTGGAAACATGCACACGCGCGTACGATACCCCGTGGACGACTGCTTGCTGCAGTCTAGACTATATGCGAGACGCACGGGTCACGCTGTGAAAGCGAGACCGATCCAGCATGGTTGACATGAATATGCATGTGTGCGTGCGTGTGTTGTCTATTGTGTGTCTCAATTGTGATGTGCCGTGTGTGCGTGCGTGCGTTGTCTGTTGTGTCTCAATCGCGATGTCTTTCTTGCCTGAACTACTGCTGTAGCGGCAGCGGTCACGCCTACCAGCCGACCAAGCCGACCAATCAATGTAGTAAGAAAACGTCAGGCTTCAGCGGGATGAGCCGATGAAATACAACGCGAGCACTCTTTCTCCTCTCTTTCGACACGGAGGGTGATCGATTTGCACGACACAGCAGTGTCCTGCTGCTAGAGTAAGGATAAGACTTGTGTGTGCTTGATTGATGACAAGGGCGAGAGTCTGTGTGTGCTGGTCCTGCCTCCCCCCTCCACCCTCGTTGCGGGCGCGAGCTCGCCGCCAGCACAGCGCCACACACTGGCACGTGCTATGCATGTCAACCATGCTGGATCGGTCTCGCTTTCACAGCGTGACCCGTGCGTCTCGCATATAGTCTAGACTGCAGCAAGCAGTCGTCCACGGGGTATCGTACGCGCGTGTGCATTTTTCCAAACGGAACAATTGTGCTGGGGTACGTGTTGCCCGGCCATTGTTGACCTAGAGCGGAAGAGTTGACGGTTGGTGTTGTTTCGCAGGGGCGGAAACTGATTCCTGCCCCGTTGCCATGGTTGTTATTGGGCAGGAAGAGTCGCCGTTTGGTATCCCATGGTTGGAGGGGAAAAGGAGTTGGGCAGATTCCTGCGGGGGAAATGATTGATGAAAGGGTCTAATTTCCCGACAGGTCAGGATACATTCCGAAAACAGGGTATACCCTGCGCCTTTTCGGACGCACCGGGGTGAAATTGGGCGCTGACCAATGATATGAGTGCATTTACTGCTGTTAATGACTGTACCCAGGTGTGTCGCTTTTCGACCAGGGTATACCCTGTTGTGTCGTTTTCCCTTTTTTTGTGAGTGTCGTGGACATTTTTTTTTCTGTCCGGCTGTTTATGTCACCGTCTGGTGTTGTTGCCGTTGGTCTTGTGTAGCGGCAACAGGCAATCCCGGGGGGGCATGACTTACCGGCAAGGAGGGGTTACGAGAAATCCCCGCTCTCGCAGTGCTCCCAAACGACGCTCGTCAGGTAGGTATGGGTCAAATCAACCCAGCGTGCGCCCCCCCTCCCCTCACCCCATACCCCTCCGAATGTGCAATGCGCGCACCGCAACAAGGCGGGCGGGGCAGCAGCGGCGGCGGCGGCGGCGGATGACCTCAGCAAGTCAGGCAAGGTGTTGACAGCGACTTCGGCGGCGGCGGCGGCGGCAGCGGCCGTGGACAAGAGTAAGAAGAGGAAGCAGCCGCTGGCGGAGCGGCCCCCCGACGTCTGTAGAGACCCGATCACTCTCGACGACCTCGGCTCGTGGACGTGGGATTTCCGTGCCAGCGAGGCCGCCACGCCGCCCGTTTCGTGCGGGGCAACTAAGTCGACGAAGCACGGAGGCGGCGGCGGTTGGAAAGGCAAGCGTTTCGGGGTGGGGGGCAAGGGGGGCCGTGGGTGTGGCGGCGGCGGGAGCGGGGGCGGCGGCGGCGGGAGCGGGAGCGGCGTCAACGGGAGCGGAAGCGGAAGCACTAGCAGCGCGGTGGTGACGTATAACGTGGAGTCCCTGGTGCTGTACTTGCTGGAGTCGGGAGACTTTCAGGTACGACGATTTGATGTGTCCTCTGTTGTTTGTTGCAGGTGGTGCTCTCGCCGCTGCTGCAACCACGGGTAGGTGACCCTGCGGTTTGCTACGCACGGGCGCGTGCTCGTTTGGCTACAGTCGAACCTCGCTTAAGTTAACGAAAATTAAGTTAACTCCCCCAGTAAAGTTAACAATTTTTTTCGGAAACATGGTGCCCCGCAGAAAGTATTGCATACAGGGGGGGTAAAAATACAGTCCACGGACCCCCTCAAAACCAGCAGCAGCAGCAGTGCTCTCACTGCTCTGTAGACCGCCAATAAGAGGTCTGCTGCTGCACCTGCTGTCTGTGGGTATGGAGAGATTCCTTCCATCCAGCGGTGCATCGTCTGCGCCTGGCAAAAAACGATGCGAGGAGCCTACATGCACGGTACCGGACTCCACGGACGATGAAGATGGTGGGGGTAGACCAGAGTCGTGCGTAACATCTTCGATGACAGAGGCCGAAGTTCGCGGTAGCCTAGAGAAGGTTTGCTCCTACTTGTACGCGAACGGAAAGGATGGGGAGTACCGCGAGACCCAGTACCTGCTCTCGAAAGTTGTGCATTCGTTCACTCACGAAACTCAAGTGAAGCGGCGAGCCAAGGAGGGGGGGGAGCTGCAGGCAACTCTGCGCGACATGTGGAGGTCGTAGAGTGTGCGGTACAAACGACCAGAGCTGTGTTTGGGGTGGCCTATGTATGTCTTGAATGCGTGGGACCGCATGAGACTACTACACAGGAGTGGCTGTACATTGCGATCGACGAGAAATGTGTGCGTGGGTTCAAGCGTTCCAACATAGCATCTTGGTTATAGTGTTGTTTAGTAAAATGGACATAAAAATATGCTCCCTCTCACTTTTTTCAGTCTCCTCTCTCGTCAAACACGTAGTGGAGCCCAATGCGCGTCTATTGAGGTATTCACCGCCTCTATTGGCCCCGGGGATGGTGAGTTGTGGTCCCCTGAATTTTAAGTTAACTTCCTCGCCTTAAGTTAACTTTTTTTCGGGAAAAACCATGTGTTAACTTAAGCGAGGTTCGACTGTAGTGTGTTCTGGAGGCGCCTGATTTTTTGTGCGCTTGCTGCTGCTGCTTTTGTGGACACGAGCACGGCAGTTAGGTTGTGAGAGGCAACAATAGGACCAGCCGCTTGGTCTGCCCGCGCCCCTGCTGCTACTGGGTGAAGTACGATTGGATAGACTTGTCCTCTCCTGACGCGCAGAAAGCATCGGAGCGCCCGTACAGCTAGCTTTAAGCGCCAGCAACGAGGGTTGGTCATCGATCCAGCTAGCTTCTGCTGCTGCTGCTCGTTTGGCGTCGAACATGCGCGCACGCGTCGAGACTTCCCGGTCCATGCATGCGGGTTTAGCTTCGCGGTAGATTAAGGAGATTATCGTCTCTCTGCCGTTCGGCATAAATTGATTTGATTTTCCTTTTGGTGTCTGCACAACGTTGCAAACTTGACGGCGAGGGGTGTTATCGATGATTCATCAGAAGAACGGGCGTGTTTTTTAGCATGTTTCTTAGCACAGCAGGGGCAATTCTTGTTTTTCTTTGTCCGTGCTCACCCACGAGAGAGAAACCTGTCGACGCGGCGGTGAGCACAGATGCTCCGGCGACCGGAATGGCTCAATGTTCTGCATTCGGCACTCCCCACCCTTCCCGGCGCCACCGTCATGTGCAGCCGTTCACCCCAAGCGCGATTTCGCGTTCGGTCAAGTGCGTGACAACCAGTTGATGCCTACAGCGATCACAACCTTTCCCCGCTAGGCTACGGGTGACATTAATACCTTCCTCTGTGGCCCCGTGAGTGAAGTTACGCCCTCTTCCCCCCCTCCCCTCCTGGGTTGGGTTTTCGTCGCTTGGCAACGAAGTTGAAAAACAAGCCAACTCACTTCGTGAACTCGGCAACTAGGTTACCGGTTTTTTTTTCGGCGGTAACCATAATGGTGGTCGAGTAGATCATGTTATGCGGGGTCGAGAACCCTCACTCCGAGCAAAGGGGATGATCGCACCACGTTGTGTTAAAATTGTCAAGCACCCTCGAAGCAGTTACACAGTGCTTACAACTGTCTCTGGAAGTAAAAGCACCAGAAAATATATTCAAGAAATACGCAGCTGTCATCCGAATGCAAGGAAGTAAGCACAAGATGCCGAACACCCTTAGCAGGATGCAGCGCACCCTTCATGCGACTCGCCGAATATCTCACGGCGCTTCGCGCTTGGTGATGTGAGAGCCTGGTCCGGT